AGGCCGGGGCCGCGCCACCCGCAACTGGGGCCGTGCTGGTCAGGACCGGTGCCAGAGAGAGAGCGAGGCATGCCCTGCACCCCCCTTAAATCCCTGAATTCGCAGGGGCGCTGGTTGGCTTGGCCCTGGTCAGAGGTGGCTCTGACAAAGGAAAAGGGCGAGCTTTTCAGGTAGCTTCTTAAAGGGCCATCTCCATAGCCCTTCCCCCGTTACCAAAGACACAATCAAAAACCCCCTCACAGAAAACCCAATTCAATGACCTAGAGAGAGTGGTCCCAGATATCCCGTCCTGGGCCCCTAATCCCAAGGGTCGTGAGGGGAGACAATAACATGCATGGGAACTGCTTCACCTGGGAGGTGAAGGTGACATTGCTCAGGCTGTGCTGGAGGTGGGTGGGGAAGGCACTGTTGTGGTTCTCAGGATGAAGATATCCTTGAATGAAGGTCTTATTCCTAGGCAAGTGGGTCCAGATTTACAAAGATAGCTATGGATGGAGGCTTAGACAGGTGGGAATTTCCAGGTCCAGGTGGGAAGGCCCAAAAAATGCCTGAGTAAGCTTGTAGCATCACTCATACTGACTGTAATGGGAGTTAGACTTCTAGAACCAAGTGTCTAAAAGAGTTCAGTATCTTTTAAATACTCGTCTGAAGTTGCTTGAGGTTGCTTGGGTTTTTTTGAGGTGCTCCCACTTCCCACTTGCAGGATCCACTGGGAACAAGTTTTCTCTATAGATAGTGCAGGCCCTGAGCCGGTATCTAAAAATCTGCCTACAGATTCTGTGGTTTAGTCACATTTATCTCTTCTATCATGCTACTCCAAGGGTTTGATAAGAAGTGATCCAGCCTCCTCTCTCTGTAGTTGCTCCTACTCTGCATGTCCTACTCTGTCTCACATGAGCACGAACAACCCAAAAATTAGTGTTCACTGGCATTCATCAATTCCCACTGGGAAAAGGAGATTGCTTGAGTCATCTGAAATGATTGTTGCTTCTTTGAATGACTATTTAATGACTGGTCTTTTTTTCTTGTTTTTCACTTATCTCAACCAGCTAGAACTGAAACCTCAAGGGCGAATGCTGATGAATGCAAGATACTTCCTGGAAATAAGTGGCAAGTGATTTTGTTTGTTAATTGACAGCTGTGATTTCTGGTGACGTGAGGCAAACGTGGTGTCTTCACTGAAAGCAGTGTCTATGTCATTTATGCATAGGAACTATCATAATGGTTTGAAATGCACACTCCAGAAAAGCAATTTTTATGGTATGATGGGGATGAAACTGACTGTTCCTGCGTGATTGGCTAAGCAGATTTTTGGCTGTTTTACCACTAAAATGGTAGATTTTCTTACTACACTAAGCAAGACAGAACAGATACATAAGGAGCCTGCTCCCTCTGAAATAATACTACTTGTAAACATGCATGCAATGAGTGCTGCGGTGCACATCATAGTGCAGATGTGAAGGTTGGGATACAGTTTACAGTTGACAACACCTGAGTACAATTGTTAGATGCGCATTTAAGATCAAGAGCCACTTAGGCAAAAGAGAAGAACCTAGAGAGTGATTCATCTGATCAAATGCAGGTTTCTGCTGCAAGGTGAGCCAAGTCATTCGCTGGGCTCCATTGCCTGCTCCAGTGAGACCTCCAGGGACGTGGCAGCAGCTTGGACAGGGCACACATCATCCCTTACGTGTCTTCACTGGGAACCAAATGCCACCTGCCATCAATGTCCATATGAAATGCATCTTACTGTGTTGAGGAAAATAGGTTGCAATCCAAATGCTTGGTCTTATTCCCCTGCCAAAATTCTCACACCCTTAGATGTGGGGTGAAGCTGTAATAGTGTGTCCATACTGATATTTTCTTCATCCTTTCCTACCTTTAATATAGAACAATTATTGCCTCGTTGTATGTTATATCAGAGAGGCCAAAGCATAGAAAATGCAAGTTGTGTTTGTGTTACCAATAGCAAGATCAGCATCAGATCACACAGGGGTAGTTTTCACAGAACATCTATGTACCTTGCATGAGTAAAACGAAGCAGAGATCGAGAGTGAGACATGCGTGCAAATCTGGATTTGTAGACACAAGCACATATGGAAATTCACATGTGTATATGCATACGTAGTCAGAATTGGTTTGCTTGCTGTTTTAAAAAGTTTAAATGTGAACTGTGAATAAATGGCATGAACAGAGCAAACAGCAAAGCAATTGTTGGTATGGAAAAAAACCAGGAAAAATAATATCCTAGGAACATGCATGTGTGCTTACTCACACACACATACATGCACACATAAAGGATTCAGTCAAATATCCACATATATAAGTACAGATATATTTATGCATGTGTGTTTGTGTGCATCCAAAAGACAGTATTTTTAATGTATTTTCATCTTTCTTAGGGCATGGTTCTTCAGTGCTATGAAAAGTTAGGATTTTATGTTTAGCTGCAAATTCTCTCTCCTTAGGAAATTTCTGGTCCACATTTCAAAAGCAGCATTATGAATATTCAAGGAAGCTCAGAATCCCAAGTTTACAGTCATTTTAGTGTCCCTGTAGGAATTATGGCTAAAAAAGGCATCCAAAAAAACCTTGTGTGGGTTTCAGAGAATTATTTTTCTTAAAAATATTCATTCCCATGAGTGGCTCATCTGCTTGAGTCACTCGGTATTTTGGCAGCTGCGTTTTCTCAAGGTGCCTGATCAGGACGTGGTACCCTAATGCATCTTCTGTTTCCTTCCCTGCCAGATGCAAAGGACCTGGCTGACTGCGAGACCGAAGGCTTTTTCTCCTTGCACCAGCGCAGGGGAGCCATCAAACAGGCCAAAATCCATAATGTCAAGTGTCATGAGTTCACGGCCACCTTCTTTCCACAACCCACCTTCTGCTCTGTCTGTCATGAGTTTGTATGGTAAATGAGAACAGATCTACGCATTTTCCCCTTTTAACTCTAGGGACCAGCTCTGCTTCTCCAGTCAATAACTGTGCTCCTGCGGTCAGTAAAGGCAACAGGACTGGACCCTTGGCATCTTACATGTAGATATTGCATCACTTCAAGGATGTGATTCACAGTTGTAATTCCAACTGAGAAAATTCCCTTCATTTTTCAGTTTATTTTTAAGAAATATTTTGGTCTTTGGCCAAATGCTCAGATGTTTCTCATCAGCCCGGTTTCCTATTAGGTTGTTGTGAAATTCAGAATGTGAATATGTGCTGAAAAGGCTGTGAAAACCACAGAGAATCACTCCACAGTTAGACTGAATTAAGATATTTCCTTTAGAGAAGCTTTATCAAGACTCATAGAAAACAAAGCTGTTTTATTGTGTTTCTTTCATAAATGTTGCTCTCCTTTCTTCTGTGGAGGCTTTCAGAAAATTCAGAATTAACTCTTTCTCTATTTATTTCAGGGGTCTGAATAAGCAAGGCTATCAATGCAGACGTAAGAAGCTTCTTTTTTACCTAGTTACTATAATTTTTTACTTGATATTTTCATAAGGTATTTTTTTATTAACTCCATGACCCACTTGTTCTTTCAGAATGTAACGCTGCCATTCATAAGAAGTGCATTGATAAAGTAATAGCCAAGTGTACAGGATCAGCAGTCAATAGCAGAGAAACGATGGTATGTATTATTATTTGACTGCCTTTAATAAACTGATGTGTCGTTCAGATCTCTCCTACAGTGCTTTAAAACAGCTTCTGATGAAGCAAAAGGTGCTCCTGAATGAAAAGCTGTGACATCTGATCTGTGCCCTTTGTTTTTTACGTTCCCAGTGGTTTCATTACCTCCTACTTGTGATTTACTCAAATGCAGCCACTGAATAAGCAGTTGCTGAATCAGGACTGACATTTTTCTAATGTATGAAGTACAGCTCAGAGGGACATCATGGACATGAGGTGGAGATTTACTGGAGGCAATTCTTCACTATCTGATGTTAGGCAGGACATCGCACTGAATTTTCAGAGCAGTGCTTTAACATCCCACTCTGTGTTATCTGAAATTTCCAAACAGCCAGTGGAAGATCTAGCATCTATACTATTATTTATTTTATTATTCTAATATCAGTTTATAATAAACCTTCTTTTTTGGTCAGCAAAAGTGGAATTTTAACTCTTGATATGACTATTCCCTTTTTCTTAAGTGTGCCCCACAGCTTCTGTTTGCTTCCAAACCCACCCTGGCTCCTGCTCTCCTTTTACAGTCTTTACAGATGAGATTCATCTCACTTGTCTTCTGACATCTCCAGGGTAGATGTATCCAGCTTTGTCATCATCTTTCACTCCCTATGTACTAAAAGAAGAAAAACAGTTTATTCCAAAGTGTGATTCATGACAACAGATGTTGAAATCTGTTTCAGGATAGGAAGAATAATTTTTAGAAGTACCCCTGTTTGTCCATTGAGTTTTCAGGGATTCTGGATGCGTAGCTGAGGTTCATGCAGCTATCTGGTCAGATAAATCAAATCCAGGGATTAAATTGCCCAGTTCCCACTGAATTGCACAGATATTAGGTATCAATATTTGGCTTTGTATATCTAAATAATAGTTATAGATAGTTTTTTTTCTTGATGGTCATACCCAATGATAAAAGGGCAGTAGACATCCTATCTTCTCTGGTACAAGCCTGGGGGCCATTTGTTTCCCATGCAGAGCTGAGGTGCAGAGGAGTGAATTGCCAACACGGCTTCTCTCTTGCAGTTCCATAAAGGGCGGTTCAAGATTGACATGCCTCACCGCTTCAAAGTCTACAACTACAAAAGCCCCACTTTCTGTGACCACTGCGGCACACTCCTCTGGGGCCTTGCACGGCAAGGACTGAAGTGTGATGGTGAGTTCACAAGCTGAGCACGGGATGTTGTCTTTAGATTGTCTGAAATCTAAAGAAGCAAATCATATTTATCACATTTCTGTATGGTACTTCTATGAGATGGCATCTGGGGTGCTGAAGTAGTGGTCAAGGGGACTGTTCTTCAAGAAGACTCGTTCTTCAAGGAGGAGGACCACTATCAGCATATAGAAAGATATGTGATCCACAGAACTGAAGAGTCACTTCCAAGAGAGGAAAAGAACATCTCAATGCCCACCTTTGATCTTTCAAAAATTACTCCTAGTATCAACTTTCATGCTCTGTTTCCACTATCAAACAGACCCAAGATGTTTCACCATCTTCATAATCTTGTATCAATGGGGAGACCCTGTTCTGTGGTTATGGTTTATCTATGAGCTGATAGACTGTGGAGCTTTGGTAACCTGTAGCTGCAAAGGCTGATGGATGTGGAAATACAACTTTTTGCCCAGAAGAAGATACAGAAAACATCCATCTCCATAGAGAACCAAAAAATGACCTGAGGGCCATCTCATGAGACATATGTGGTGCCTAGGCTTTGAGCTGTTTATGTGGCTGGTGTGTGCCCTTGGCCAACAGCAGCACATGTTTCTGCGCAACCTAATGTCAAACTCTTTACAGTCTCTGTTCTCCTGATACCTCTTGTTCTTCCTTTCAGCATGTAGCATGAATGTCCATCATAAGTGCCAGACAAAAGTAGCAAACCTTTGCGGAGTTAACCAGAAACTAATGGCTGAAGCTCTGGCAATGATAGAGAACACCCAGCAGGTAAATACTTTTAAGCTGTGAGTTACCTGGAGAAAAGAGTATCAAATATTCAGTATTTGTTTCAGTGCAAAAAATAAGGGTGTTGAGTGGAGCGCTGTGGGTAACAAATTCAAAGCAAAGAATAGAAAATGGGTCCTTCATGGAATCATAGAATCATAGACTCATTTAGGCTGGAAAAGACCTTTAAACTCCTATATGTTAGGAACAGAGATGCTCTTCTCATAAGCAAAGAACTTCTAGATCTTGGCTCATGTGGCTGTCATACTCCAGAAGCAGCTGTGACCATAAGCTCAGTACATTTAGCTCAAAAGTATTTTTCTGTTTCCTGTAATCCAGGCTCGCTGTCAGCGTGACACTGAACAGATCTCTAGGGATGGACCTCTTGAAATTGGCTTCCCAGTCCCTGTGAAGGAGGTAACATCGCTTCAAGCATTGCCAGCATCTACAACAGGGAAAAAAGGTACTATCACCAAGTGATATGGAACAGCAGGCTGTGTTATTTTTTTGTTTTGTGTATAGACAGGTGGAGGTGACAAGGACAGGGAATGTATTAGCCACTGAATCTTTCATGCATCTTTCTCATCTCAGGATATCAACAACTCTTCCCAGCCACATCTCTTGGGCATGGAAGATTCCCTAGAGATCAGCTTGGTTCCTATCATTCCTATAAGCTGCACTTCTCCATGCCATCCCAATTTTGGTGACATAAGACACAATCCACCACTCATTCAGCTAACCTTTAAACTCTCCTTCTGACCCGGTACTTGAGCACACCTCATACGTCCACTGGCAATAATGTGTTTATTTCCTTCTTGGGGCTCATATACTGTAAAATCTGAGAACTTTAAAGAGAAAACAAGCTCTAAAAAGGAGATTAGGAGTCCGTCTGATCACCATGGCCAATTCTCTTTCTGATTTCATATTTTTGGGTGGGAATTGACATCCAGTCTCTTTGAAAACCATTGACAGATCGATCCCCACTTAATTCACCCAGGAGCTGATCTAGCTGTCACAGCCCTCTGTGCTGCAAGAGCAGACATTTAGAAGGGTGAATGAGAGATCCATTGATTAACAGACCTTGGACAAAGCTACTGTGGGCTTAGTGGCCCAAAACAAAAATTGCAGTCTCCTGGGGAGATCCCTTGTTTGTGCTTGGGTGGTAGAATTCAGGATATCAGAGTTATAAAAATAACATACATATAAAAATATCACCATCTTTTATTAGACGCGTGTGGCCCATGTTAAAGTTCATTTCAGGACCCCTCCAGCTTCATGGTTTGTGGTGCCCCTCCAAGAACCATATCATAACTGCAGAAGACCTATGATGGCAGTGACAATGTGTTTCTGCTTCCCACAAGCTTTAAAATTTGTCTAAGAAGAAAAAAATGAAGAGGAAAAGAAAAGAGTAAAAGTGAATCAATACTTAAACCTAGCAAGGACTGGGACAGTGCGTCCTCAGCTCCAACCTTAACCAAAGGTCAAGCTGAGAGCTCACCACCATCATCCACTTTCTTAATGAAAGTTAACATTGCCCTGCATGGAGATAATATCCTAGAGAGTGGACCTAGGGCAAAATACCAGAAGCCCTGGTTAAAGCATGGCAGAGCCACATTACACCAGTGCTCTGGATTTGTTATTGTGCAGCACCAGGCTACCGAGCCTCAGAGACTGGTTTTGGTATCATCTGAGCTAAGGGGACAGTTGTCCCCATCTGTGCTTCTTTTCTTTCATTTCTACAAGTAGAACTGCCTATGCTGATGTGAATCAGTAAAACCCCAAATGGTTTCACATCTGTTTTGCATGTGAGTCTGTTTGTCTGCTGAGTTGTGCCCTTGCTGTTCAGCAATTCAGGACAGTACAGCAAATGTGGGATAAATCCAGTAAGAGATAGGACCTCTTAGAAGTTCACGTACATCCACGTGAATGGAGTATTAAGGAAACTCTAAGTGACTCCCTTCCAGGACAGCTGGCATACTTGATCAAAGCTTCACAACCAAAGCAGGAACCCAACATGGAAATGCTATCCCATCTATTTTGCACACTAGCTTTGCCAAGGGTCTTGAAAAGGACTCAATAGCAACCAGCAAGAAGGAATGGTGCACACAGGCAGCCAGAAATTAAGGACTTGGTCATGTTTTGCTGCTGCGAAACAGAGAGACAAATGAAGGAGTTTTCAGAGTGGGAGTAATGCCACTGAAGAAGATGGAGTTACACTGGAGTAAAATTTCCTATGGAGAGAATGCAATGTAGAAGCAGAGCCAATTTCATTAGTAGGTGTGGCCACCACATTTCCCTTTATTTGAAACACCCTTTTTAAACTCTAAACACAATACCTCTAAGTGTTCTGGGGATTTTCTGCTCATTTCCATTGTATGAATGCATTGGTGTGTGTTGCAGAGTCACAGGGCATCTCCTGGGAGACTCCGGTGGAGGGCACAGTGAAAGGGGAGTCTCTGATAGAGTCAGACTTGGGAGGACAGCCCCAGGAGCAGGAAGAGCACCAAGTGCAGCTAAAATTAACCATTGAAGATTTCGTCCTGCACAAGATGCTGGGGAAGGGCAGTTTTGGCAAGGTAAGCATCAGGGGACTGACACACCACTGCACAGATCTGCATGTTACTTATTATGGCACGAAATAGCATGTGGTTTGAAGGCCACTTAGAAAAAAAACACATCACTAGGCCCTCATAGAACCCTCACTCTGGCATGGCTGAGTCTTGAACCCGGTTTTCTGCTTCCTTGAGGCAAAGGTGCTCCTTGTCTTTGTCTCTGTCCCATTAGTCTCATGCTGTGCCATGAATGCTCATGACAAGAGATGAAAGAGGCCAAGTAAAGCTGCAAGTTCCCCTTCTTTGCAGGTTGTCAGGGCCTGGGCTTCCACAGAGAGCTGGTGGGCAAGATCTCTGTGCTGTCCCCCTTCATGCAGCTACTCCTGCCAGCTTATCTCAGCAAGGTTGGAGGGAGGCGGAAGCATTAGCTGAAATGTTCAGTGTGGATCACCTCCCCTCTCCAGAGCAGCCTCACTGGGAACACTCACCACCCTTTCCCAGCTCCAATCTGGGCTGGAGCGTGTAGTAAATCTTGAACAGCCAAGAATTTGTGCTTTTGAAACAAGAACCACCTGTTTTTAGTGGATTCATTAATCTTGATGAATTGTGGATTGTTCCTCCTTCTTGCAGATGTCTCCTGGAAGGGGGCTGGTGTTATCCAGTGCCAGCACAGAGCTGCATGAAGCAATTTCAGAGGAACTCACTATTGTATTTTCACAGCCAATACGGAGAATGAGTATCATTATGTATTGCATTGCTCAGATCCCAAATCTTTCCAAGGTGGAAACACTGCCTTAAAAAGGGCTGCTTTTTGCCTGCTAAGTGAGCTGAAGCAGTTGCTGCAGCCAGTTCTTAAACTGGTGAAATATTTGCTGTATTGCCTCTCCATACATGAAAACACTGGGCATGTTTACACTTGGCATGGGAAGAAAAGCTGAGGCATCTCAGTTAGAGCTAAGCCAGAATACCCTAAATTTCACAACACAAACTAACCTGTACTTAAGAGCATAGGTGTCATAGAAACATTTACATCGGAAGGAAGAGCCCTCTGGAAATCATCTAATCCAACCTGTTGCTCAAAGCAAGATGAGGTTGCTCAGGTATTTGTGTAGTCAAGGTTTGAATACCTCCATGGAAGCAGATTCTGTACCTCGCTTCAGACCCCTTTGTTAACGTGGACTCTCCAAGCTTGCAAACATCTGCATCTCTCTGCAGTGCACCCTGTGGGTGTGGAGAGGATGGGCTATTTTGTGCCCTTCTGCAACAAACGCCACCCACAAGTTTCCTGTGTAGGTGTTGCTCCTGGTGCCCTTATTTGCTTGGAGTGAGATTCACTTCCCCATAGAGGGGTCAGGATGTGCAGCTCTCAGTGCCTGAAGGCTCTCTCCAGCTCATGGACCAGGGAGCTTGAAGGCAAGTCCCATGAGGAAACCCCCTCTGCATGAGGTCTAGCATTGCGTACCTACACCTTGAAAGTCACGGCACAAGTCAGAAATGTATTGCGTTCCTCAGTTTCCCCAGGAGAGCAGTTCCCTGCACAGAAACAAGGGTAAAAAGGGTGCCTGCAGCATCAGCACTGTTAGCATTTCTGGCCATTCACTGCAGAGACAGAGGGCCGCTCTAGGCTCTATTCTCTGTCTAGTGCTACAAAGTGAAATGCAGCAGTAGCCAAAAGGGTAAATAAAACTTTTGTCAGGGCTAAAACATGCCTGAGCTTACTTAGTAAATAGTGTCTGGTAGAGAACTTTAAAAACCTCTTTGATGTATCTTACCTATTTATTCAGTCTACAGCAAACAGTGTGGACAGGCTGTTAGAGTAAAGATCAGGAGACTTCTTTGTTCTGTGATCTCTAAAAAACCCTTCTCTGCTGCTCCGTGTCTCATTTTCCCTGCCCATGTGAGTAGAAAGAGGTCCTAATTCCTCCGATATGTGTTTTGCTCTTCTCAGAGAAGAGTCCTGCAGAGGCACAGGAGGCCCAGACTGTCTGCTCAGGTGTCCAGCTAACTGGGAGGAAGGGAAGAAAGTCACATCTGATACAGATCAACCTAACTGCTGGTGGATGTCAGTTTAAACCTACTGAGGATCTGGTCCTGGGTATTTGCATTTCACACGTTGACAAAGCAATATTCTATGTTTTGTTATTTTAGGTCAGAAAACAGGAAATGTATCTTCTGAGTATTTGCATAAAGATGGTTTCTGTTATCAGAATTGTTTGGCTCTCTGGCATGTCCTGTCCACATGGGCATGCAGCCCCTGCTCTTGTAATCACCAAGACCTTATCTTTCCCTGGTATTCAGCTTCATGAAACTGAGTGTGGGGAAAATACCTCAGAATCTACAAATTCTTAATGGCAGAATTGGGCCTTAAACATCAATGTTTTTAAGGCCTACCTTAGTGAATTCCCCAGAGCTCAGCTCCCATCTTTGCATGGCTGTGTTGCCAGCTCTGAGAAGATCATTGCTCTTTCTGAGCAGCTGTTTCCACCCTAGGTGTTCCTCGCTGAGCTGAAGAGCACAGACCAATATTTTGCCGTGAAAGCCCTGAAGAAGGATGTGGTGCTGATGGATGATGATGTTGAATGTACAATGGTGGAGAAGAGAGTCCTCTCCTTAGCTTGGGAGCACCCATTCCTGACTCATGTCTTCTGTACGTTCCAGACCAAGGTAAGACAAGGATCTGTCATCTGAGGATGCTTTGCTGAGATACTTGGTGAAGTGCTTAATTCTGTTAGATGCTAGGGAGTAGCCTGGACATGAGGTGGTACTAAAGGAAGGGATCTTCAGGTTAACTACTTGGGAAGTGGCTCCAGAAATTTCCTCTGCCTTCCTCGCATTAACCTGGTGGGTGCATTTGAGGTTTATGGCATCCAAGATGGATTGAAGTGGATATGCAGAGACCCACTATTAAAATCTGCATCCTGGTACCCTGGGCTGAGGATGTTCAAAAGCCACATCCACAAACAGGGTGCAGATGTGCCCACACTGGTGTTATCTGAACCTCTTGGACCATGAAGCGGTATGCTGTGGTGACCAGCCTGGATCACAGCTAACTCAAGAAACTTTGGTTATGGAGAATAAACATGCTGTCGTTCATTTTGAGAATCTTCTTTGCCCCCAGCTGCTGTTAAATTACATCAGACTCTTCCTAATTTGTGCGAGACCACTGGTGGTGAAGGCTGCAGTTCAGAGGGGCAGCACAAAGCAGCTTCATTTGAAATCCCGCTTAGGAATCCAAACCAAAAGTGAAGTGACATTTCAGTAACGTATCTCTTCATGACCCTACATGGTAACAAACCACCAATTGATTAGCTTTCCAGAGCCTTTTCTCCAGCCACAGCCAATCATCTCAACTCTAAAGCACACACAAGGCATAGAAAAAAAAGATGGAAGGAAATCTGATTGTCTTGTCTGTCCAACCTGCCCATACCGCTCCCGAGAGATGTAGCGATCCCTGAGCTCAAATTCAGAGCAACATCACTCCCTCAAGGCTGCTTGCTTTGTGTTTTGTTAGGATGCTCCCAGTCCCTGTTCAGCCCCAGGATTTAGTGACACAAAACACTGCTCCGTGTGAGGTCAGGACCTGCTCAGCAAGAGGCTTCCTGCTTCTGCAGGGTCAGGAGAAACAAATATATCCTCTGCGGTATATCCCAGTCACCAGTGGGATGCAGCACCTGTTTAAAGACAGATTAAATTTATAACAGGGAATGTCTGGGAACTGCATAGGCAATGTGACACCAAGACTAGGCAGTTTTGTTTAACCCCTTCGGGACTATCAGTGAGGACAGCATATCCTGGGAATGGATCCTTGCCTGGAGAGGCAAGGAATTAATTCCCTTTTTTTTGAGGGCGCTAGATTTCAGAGGAAAATATAAATGACCCAACTCCAAAAGCAAAGAAAATCAAAACTTAATTAAAATGACAACATTTTCACAACAGTCACAGCTCTACAAGGAAGCTTATACTCCATGAAGAGGTGCTTGTGCTGACTGTAACTCCAGGTGCCAAAGGGGATGTTGACCGATGCCAGCAGCTGACTTGCCAGCAGCAGCAAAACTCTGTTTTCTGTGGTAGAACCTGGTCCAACCCTGGTCTGGAAGCTAGCGGTCAGGTTTGGGATGGATGCAGCAGTGACAGCCCGCAGCTCTGGTTTCAGGCAGTGCAGGCATGCGAGCGTCCACTTCCTTCATAAGATCACAACAAAAAGATGACAGAACAAATGGAGTCCAAGAATCATTGAACCATTTGGTTGGAAAAGACCTTTAAGATCCTTGAGTCTAACCATAAACTGTCCCTAAGCATCTCATCTACCCATCTATTAAATCCCTCCAGGGATGGTGACTCCACCACTTCCTTGGGCAGCCCATTCCAGTACCTCATAACGCTTTCAGTGAAGAAACGTTCCTAATATCCAATCTAAAAGTTTCCCTGGCATAACTTGAGGCCATTTCCTCTTGTCCTATCGGTTGTTACTTGGGAGAAGAGACCAACTTCCTCCTCGCTACAACCTCCTTTCAGGTGGTCATCTCAGGAGCCAGACTGGATTTACTGGTCATTTAGCAGGG